AAGTTTAATACACCAATATTTTTAGGCATGACCATTTTGAATATAAGTAAAGTAATAATGTATGATTTTTACTATAATTATAAGTCAACATTTAAGAACCAAAGATTTCTAATGACAGATACAGATTCATTAATGTATTCTATAGTTACAGAGGTCTTTTACAATGAAATAGAATGTAGCTTGCACCATTTCGATATGTCTGGATTTAGTAAAGACCATTTCTTATACTGTGATAAAAATTAAAAAAATTACTGGAAAGTTTAAAGACGAATTAGATGGTCATATTATGTATGAATATTGTGGTTTAAGACCATTTTAGTTTATCTATCTATATATTAATAGGCAAGCATGTTTCTTTACAACCTTTTTGCTCAGCTCGTGTGCATCGCAGGGAAAATCTACTCATACTGATAGAAATATATTTTCCTGTAGATGTGCAGAATCCTTATATAGAATACTATACGTGAAGGCGATTTCTACGAAACACTACTCCTCAGTTAAGAATTGACGGATTTTTACAAACAATGTGTTAAAATTAAGTATTTTTTGTATAGACGCCCCCTTTCACCAATTCCTGTAATAAAAGTCCTCGGCCTTATCCCCACAGGCCATCAAAATCCCAATGTATTTCTTTTGAAGAAAATATTTTTCCTACAGTCACCCGACAAAGTTGGCTTCCTTGTACTGTTTATAGTACAGAAAGCTGCTAATTGCTGCATATTTATACTTTGCCGTACGGTTTATACTTTGCCGTACGGTTTATACTTTGCCGCACATCAGGATTCCAACGAAACAACACAAAACAGCGTGGTTCTATTATGCACGTAATCCGTGTACGCTTGGAAATAGGTTGGCAACACTTAAAGATAATAATACTATGAGCAGCTGATTGACTATTATAACTACGATTTAACCTGTCATTTTGTGTTTATAGTTTCGGTATCTCTGAACTTTCTGGACTTTTCTTTTAAACGTTTTTAAAACATTCCTACGATCTTTTGAATTTAGCTTATGACTCTATTCAAGTTCATGTAATGTGAAACTATAATGAATAAAGAATGTTTTGATTGATTTGATTGATTGATTGATCTTAATAAACAAGAAAATACATTTAAAGCGTTTTTTTTAGGCGCGGAAACCACTTCAAATTACAAAAACATACGGAACTATGTTATATTCTTAAAACGCGGAGCACATTTCTTGCCGAGAAAAAATAGCGGAGTGATACGAACCGCGCGTACTACTTTCTCTAGTGCACCTATTTGTGTTGCCAGCTGAACCTAAAAACGTGTTGTATAGTGTTTGAAAGACTAATTATTTATATACTTTATAGTGACTGTAGGAAAAATATAATGTGTAACACGAGTGAAAAAGGCCTTTGCTGCACTCGAGATCATTCCGCACTCGCCTGCGGCTCGTGCGTAAACATTGCTCTCGTGTGCAGCAAAGTGCCACTTTCACCACTAGTTACACAAATAACTATTGTTTACTTTAACAGACATTATTTGTGGTAATTACAGCTGTTAATAGTAAACACATGCATGAGCTTTCGTATTCAGAGTGAGTTGGTTTCCAGTTTCGATAACTCGAATATTTGAGTTGACTCTTTTAAGTCATCGGAAATTGCGACTGTTATAGTTTTGAACGTCTGTAATACTTTGCAATTGCTCGAATTCGAGCAACAGGTGCACTAGTCTCTTTAAAAACTCAAATAGGCTAAAATATGAGCACAAAAAATGAATTTGAAATTTAAAAAAATTAACATGGGCTTTATGGGTTGCTATGCTGGTGACGAAATAACAACGAAATATGAACAGAAAATCAAAACAAACGGAAGAAATTGCAATCACATGTTTTGTTTGCAGCGTGGGGTGAAAATAGATAAGCCTGTTCATTTTACTTACAACTACGACAAGCCATCCCCATGTTATAAATGTCGCCAGTTTTTTATTTAAATTCATCGTAGTTGATGTGAGCCACCAACAGATAGCGCTGATCTAAATGACAAATTCAAACTTATAGAATGACTTATTATGAGCTATAACAACTGTTATGACCCATCAACTTTGTCAGTAACAAAAAATAAGATATAAAATATAATTTTAGACACGCATACTGTGACTGGTTCACACAACTACAGTACATGCTTTTAATTAAAAATATGGCGACAACTGGTCCATATAGATGGAATATTAACTTCAGTATCCAATATTCAATGCGGGTACATTACATATTTTTGGTCGAGTTTTCGACCACTGGACGACCACTAGTATTCTTATATTTATCTAAAATGGTCATATGAAGAAGACAAGCAAGCTTTAGAGGTGAAGAAAGCTAAGGGAGCTGAAAGTGCCACAGTTAAACATCTCCTTAGAAATCAACATTATTTGAACTGTCTTAGAACAGGGCAAGATTACCATGAGAATGTCACAAGAATTAAATCTACAAACCATCACCTTCAAACCTTAACCATGAATAAGAACTATCTTTTGATGATGACGAGAGGTTTATTCTAGAAGATGGCATCAATACTCTTGCTCTGTGTCATTATAAAATTGATCAAACACAGCCAGGACTGCCAGGATCAATTAACTGTATTTATAGATGAAGTCAATGCTGCAAAATAAAACATATGTTCCGTCTCTCATTTATTTAGCTTTACTTCCCTCTTGATAGAATTGGTCAAACATAAATCTATATCTGCCATTACTCTTTGACCTTTCTTTGTCTATTACGAAAAAGCCATATTTAGTTTTATCCCAACATTGGTGACAGAGATTTTTAAATTAGTCAAATGAAAAGTCATTAATCATCTTGTTTGAATAATATTAGGAAATTTACATTATCACGTAAATGTTTGTGTACTTTGCTGTAAGATTGGCACAAGTAAAAACAGTTAATATTTTTATGTCGACCCATTGAGAAAAGTTGTGTAATATTTGGACTATTTATGTCATCAAATACAACTGGCTGTGATTTTACATCATTTGGTGGGATTTCACAGTCAGTGAACGTGTGTAATTTCACTTCGTCACACAAACTAAATATTTCAATTATCTTTTTATATTTTTCTTGTTCTAAAGATTTAGATATTAAATATAAGTTTGTAAATTAAAATCCTTCCTTTCTTACAATTGAATTATAAATTACAACCGTCTTCCCACTTCCGCTTGGACCACAAATAACACATCGAATATTGGTAGGAAATAGATTAAACTTCTTCGGTATATTGTCCTTAATATGTACTATTTAAAATCTGTTTTTCTGTTAAATAAAAGACATTTTATATATAATAAAAATGGTAAAAATTATATGAAAACATGTAAAAAGGTTTATTCTTAAAGCCTTATAGAGGTCGAGGGTTATTAAATACTCTTATAAATAACCTTCCAATCAGTCTCCACGTGCCACAATATCGGTACTGTGGACCTGGAACGAATATACGTGAAAATCTAGCCAAAAATGTACCTCCAAAAAATAAGCTAGACTCTTATTGTAAAGAGCATGACATATTCTACATGAATAATCTCTAAACTGCATCTCGGAACAAAGCAGACATGAGATTAGCAGACTTAGCTTGGACTAGAGTTACTGCCAAGGTTGCAAATCTTGCTGAAAAAGCAGCAGCTTGTGCTGTGACAAATTTGATGAAGGCAAAAGCAAAAATGGGAATGGGTTTAAAATTTAATAAAAAAGATTGACAACTACCAGCTTTTAAGGGCCGTAAAAGATGTGCCTCACTTCAGGAGGGTGTACCTTAAAAACGAGCTAAGAAATCTGACACCAAAAGTAACAGAGTGCGGAATAGTTAATTTAGACAGTTCATCTGGCACACACTGGACAGCATATCGTAAAAATAAAGATATTGTAATTTATTTTGACCCATTTGGAATTCAACCTCCAAAAGAAGTTATCAAATATTTTTAGGGACATAACATCTACTATACAACCGATCAAATTAAAGATTTAAATAGTTCCATTTGTGGAATTTTATGTTTATTATTCATAAAAAAATTTTGTTAATGAAATTGGATTCATTTACAATAACATTTTCGGGTACAGAGCCAGAGCTAAAGCCGGTGTTTTTTCCTCCAATAGAATTAAATGATTATTATGTAATTGGATTGGTAGATTTTCAAAGTTATAATTCCATATTTAATGTTAATAAACCTGAAAATACTTAAACATATTACAAAGTAGAGAAGATAACATTACTAATAGAAGAGATCTTTGTTGATGATTTAAGGGTCATTCTCAAATATCGGGCACATTTCAACAAAATAAAAAAAAATAAAATTTTTTCTTAAAAATATATGTTTTATATATTTTTGTACTGTTAAGTTAAAGAACATAACTGTCATAGGTATGGTCAACAAAGATCATGAACAGTTTTTAGCGAAATAAAAAAAAATTGATCGGCCTTTTCACGGAGGTGAGGTTATAGTAACGGAGGTGAGATTTTATTGTTTGGGTCGTTCTACAAAAATGGTACACTTTGATTAATTTTTTTTTAAGAAAGAAATTTTGTCAAAACTTACCTGAATATCTTCGTTATATCACTAGAAAACAAAATATCATAGTAGCTGAGCTTAGAAAAAATTATTTAGCGCAAGAAAGTAATTTTTTTCTAAACCTTGTCCACGGAAGTGATGGTCATGACCACAGAAGTGATGAAACGCTATATTATGAGTTTTAAGCACAATAAACATTGATAAAACTTACTTTCAATTTTGTTTATAATATTATATAACTAAACAAGATATTTGCCCAAGGTTTGTAACAATTATATAGGTTAAACCTTAGAAAAAGGTTGTCCACAGAAGTGACGCTAATGGAAATTAATATGACAATTTAATAACAACTGCAAAAGATTAACAAACTTTATTTTTTCTTGACAATGAATTAAAGATTACAAATGATATTATTCATTGTACCTTATGTGTTAAAAACAATAAACAACAATTTGTAATTTTCTCAAATCTTAAAAAACAAGTATTGCGAGTACACGTGTAACATTTTTTTTCATTTTTAACTTTCTGTTTCTAGTATATTTTAATTGAACTATATTTGCCAATATTTTCAAATGAATATCTTTCCCTGTTGTCCACACGAGGCTGTCCCAGAACACCGACAACATCTTCAATATTAATGAAAGAACAATCTTCAACAGGTGGGAAAACAAAAATGTTGAATCCATTGTTTTTCATGAATTTCACTTCTAACTCATCACTTAACTTTGCTGTTACTACAGCAACATAATGCTTAACACTTTTCTTGCCACTCAGCTTCACTAGTACATAGTCATTACGTCCGACATTGAAATCAGCATCGTCCTCACTGTCGGAGTAAACATCTTTGTATTTGATTCGTTTACGTTGAGTAGTACCACCTAGTAAATAGTCAAGGAATATACTCAAAATATTGCAAATTCATTAATGTGTAGATTTAAGATACAATGATAATTGGCACAATGATAATTGGTAGGTACCTAAAATCAAGGATAGACAATCAATAAATATGACTGGAAAAAAAACTTGTTTAGAAGGATACTTTTTGGTAAGTCCCAGGCGTCACTTGAATCCTCAAGTTGTGCATCCAAGCTGTCAACTGTCTGAAGTTCTTTGTTGTTATCTGCTGAAAATTGGTTAAGGAAAATAGGGTTTGAAACAGATTATAGAAAAAAGTAGCAAAGTTACACATTTAACAAATACCATAGAGGAAAATGGCAAGAAATGGAACAAATACCATACTTATTGATTAAATTTCACATTTTGTGTCAGTTTCATAAAATTACATAATTATGTGTAACAAGTACTTGAAATTTTAAATACATAAATTAAATTATGTTTATAATCAATAATTATTATTAATACATATTATCATCCTCATCTTCACTGTCTGTGTAAACAGTTTTGTACACCTGTTTTCTTGAAGTTGTTCCACATGCTGAAAAGAGCTAGTTAAGAAAAACAAAATTTTAAAGAAGATCTGTAACACAATAAAAAAAATAGGTAATTTATGAAAATAATTATTGTTATGGGTTTGTAACAGTTTGTGTTTATGTTGCGTACAGTATGTGTTATATGTACATTGTTTGCCTAATCAATGTAAAAATAGAATCTTCCAGAAAATTAATTTTAATAAATAACCTTAAACTAAAGAGTGAAAGGATACATTCTGTTGAAGGTAGATAGATCTTGCCAAGATCGTAATGTGTACAGGTAATGTCTGGTCTGCATTTCAAACATGTCAAAGACCTTGCCTGTAAGTATTCATGAGGCTCAGACCATATTATATGGTGAACTTTCAATGTTCCTTTAAAAGCATCTAGTGTTGGAATCTTTTCATAAAGGGTGATGGAATCTTCATCAATTGGAATGATCTGGATTCCAGGACAAACTTCCTTAACCTCAAGGACAAAACTATCAAAATTTGATATGTCCTTCCCCTGAGCGACAAGTGAGTCGGCAGATCGTTTGATGCAGCCTCCAATTCCATCAGGGGCTCCTTTACCGTGACCTGCCTCTGAGTAATGCCAATGTATAGTGTTGGCTCCAAACATTTGAGAAAGTTTGGTTTTTATCAAAAAGAACATTTTTTTATTTCGATATTGATTTGTTACACTATCACTTAAAAAATTTACTTCTTTCAGATCAGGCACAGTTTCTTTTGTAATTTGTGAAATCGGTTTCAAATGAGCGCAAATAGCAGAGGAGTCATGTCTAAGACAGGCAGAAACTGTACAAAAGCACTTGGACTTTACAAGATTTGTTTCTTTGCACCTGTAATATAGAACCAGGGTGTGAAGAGAAATTTGAGGTTTTGACCCCCCAAAATGGGCGGATTGAATCTCTTTACCGTATTTGCACCCGTAGTTCTCGGAAAAATCCATGTGTATTAGGACTTGGTTGAACGTAAGTTGTTCTTTCAAATTTGTTATCATAACATGCTGGTGTTTAATGTTGTTAACATGTACCATGTACTTAAAAATTGATTTTTCCAGTCTTGAAAATGCTTCTTCTTTGGTTGATTTTATGACTTCTTTAACAGTTTTTCTGCATAATTTGTCCTTTCCTTTCACTATGATTTTAGTTTTTTTTGAAAACCATTGTTCAAAATGAATTTCTTGTTTTAAATCACAATCTAACATTTCAATTTTGTTTGTTTTGCATTGCTTACATGTTCTCGTCAAACATTCCTCTTTTAAGTGTTCATTTTTGCAGCATAGAGTCTTACAAACTTCTTTAGCAGAATTCTCTTTTATTATTTTGTTGTGAAACAATTTACTCACTAACAAGTTCATGTTTTCATGGACAGTGCATAGACAGGTATCCCGATCAGTAACTTTTGGCATAACAATCCAAAAGGGCCGCAGTTTACAAAATGAAGCATAACTTAGTTTAAGATGTGAATGTTCAGTTGAAAATATTTTATACAGATTCAACATTGTATCATTGAGATACCTCTTTTGCCGCTTATCTTTCTTTCGTGTGATGGTGTCTTTAGCCCCAGGGCACATTCTACTATGCTCATCTTTTTCCAAAAAAGTCTTAACACAGTTTGAAATGACTTGAGAACGCTTTATTTTGTTTAAGCTTTCATTTCTGGTAGACGGTACCATTGCATGTCTTACCATTTTAAATGATAATGTTTTACTCAGTTCAGTCATGAATCGGTATCTTTTTACCACTTTACCAGCTACACTTGTGACAACCTTTCTGTATTTATCCTTGTCTTTAAAATTTTCTCTGATTTGCTTTGTTAATACCTCTCCAAACAATAACTTTTTTTTAATTCCTGGTGAAACAGTTAGACCCTTGGTAAGCTCTTCCACGTTCTTTATTGGAGTATCTTTTTTAATTTTTTGAAGCCGATGTGCCCTTTTCTTGTACTTTTCAGCAGTTTGTTTGGCCTTTTTTAAACTTTCTTCCAGTTCCTTAATTTTGGTTTTCAATTTTCTTGTATTCCTTCTCCTCCTGTGTCTGTTCATTCTTTCCCTATCATTATTTACTTCAGGAAGGTTTTCCAATGGAGAAGGAGGAGGAGAGTTTTCGTCTAAAAGTTTTGTTAATTCTGAATTTTTTTTCTTCTGGTCATAGGTCTTTTTACTGCTTGTTCTCCACATTTTTCTTTTCTTCCTCTGGTCACGGTTATTCATTTCCTTAATGGATTTTATCTGTCCAGCTTTTTTTCTAGCATGGTAGCGTTCCCTTTCCTTCCTTTTAGCTTCTTCATACAAAGCGGGGTCATTTTTTATACATTGTCGTAGTCTTTGCATGCTTTCCCTCTTCTTTTTGTTCGTGTCATCTTTCCTAGGCCGCTTGGCATTTCCATTATTGTTATTTTTTGCCATTACAATAGGCCTACCTGGAAAACATGTAATGACTTAGTGCTTAATTAAAATACCCCTGTCGCAACGGACCTCATTATCATCGAATTTTCAATGGAATTCAAGGTGATTCTATATTTTTCCTATAAATACCATATATGGGGCTGGGTATGTAGGTTTGCTGCTATGGAGGTGTTGTAAGTAAATATAAAAGTAAACCCATACCTAGTGAATGTGCATACCAAATCTTATCAAATTATGTTAGTAAATAAGCGAGATATAAAGTTTCTTTGATTCCCCTATAATGATAACATGGGACACAACTTTTTGGATTCTCTCTGTAGCCAGTAATTCAGAAAGTAAATTAGGCCTACTTGCTTAAAAAACTACTGTCAAACAATATGCCTATAAAATATTCCAATAATTTGTAAGTGAAATTCATTCAGTTTTTAACTAACAAGACCTACACCTAAATCATTATAAATACTACTATTAAGTTTTACTAAAACAACTTACAGCATGGATAATTTAGAATTCACAATAATCAATAAAGATTAAAATTTTGAAAGAAAACTTTTATCAATATTGGTTTATTTACTGTGCTTCCATTTAACATTCTCAACTCCGTTACAATTTCTCAACTCCGTTACCCGGGTGAGTAACGGAGTTGAGGGTAACGGAGTTGAGGGATTTGTCTTGAATGATGCAGAAAATGGAGGATTCTTAGGTTAGCTGACTATTCCACACCAGAGAAGGTTTGAGTTCAAACTATTATTCACTTGTAAAACTAATTTATAAATTATTATAGTTACTTACCTCATAAATTAGGTAACGGAGTTGATGTGTCAATATTGCCATCCAAACTTTGATTACCAAATTCAACTAAACAACACTGTAAAATTATCAGTACAACATGTTCTTCTCACACAACAACCAAAATGGCTGCCTACACACTGGTGAGTGAAGAAGAAGAACAGTGCTGCTGCCTGTAGGAGATTTTTAGTACTTTTATCAATGGTAACGGAGTTGAGATCATGCTTCGGGACAATCTTAAAAAGCTTTTAACTGCTTTTTTTATTTTTTTTCCTAGCTTGATATATACTAAGTAATAAAGCTAATATGTTATATTATTTGTTGATTTAATTGATATTATAAATCATGTATTAGTTAATTTTAAATTAATGGCAGATGTTTGAAATACTGAGGATGGGACATGTCACGGAGTTGAGGTTTTCATGTTACAGACGGTTACCATGGCATTAAGAAATTTTTAAATGACAAATTATGATTGTAATTAGTTTTTAGTATACTTTAAGAAACTATTAAAAAAATTTAAAAAATAATTGGATGAGCCAAATTAATAAAAATTGCTAGGGACTGAAATCTGCCCTTTCACGGAGAATCACCCATAAACCAGTTATTAGATAGCAAAATTAAAGTTATAATGCATAAAAATGGTGAAGCAATAATTAAGACTAAAGTCAAGCTTATATTCAAAGGGCTTATTCCAAAATTAAATCAACCTAAAGACAACAAACTAACCATTGGAGAAGGTGAGGATGTTTTCCTTTTATGACCACAAAGCTCCAATTACAATAGAAATTTCTGAAGGTACATTTCAGTTGGTGGAGCTTGCAAAGGAAATTCAAAAGCAAATCCCAGACGTTTTGCTTACAGCTAATAATACAGCTATGAAAGCGACATTACATTCTAACCATGTGTTTGATTTTACAAAACCATGTTTAGGTTCTGTTCAATTGGTATTTAAAGGTGTTTCTACTCCTGGTGTTCCATTCGAATCTACAAATAAAATAAACATTAATAATGTAAATGTTATTAGAGTAAAATGTAATATTGTAAATGGGTCGTATTTAAATGTTAACAAATCACACACCATACATAGTTTTTATCCAGAAGCTCCTCCTGGCTACAAAATTATTGAAGTTCCAACAAAAATTATATACTCTCCTGTAAATAAGAGAAGTTTAGATGTTGTCAGTATTACATTTGCCGATCAGCACGACAAGGCAATTGACTTTAACGGAGAAGAAACTACAATTACTTGTCATATAAAAAAGATTTGAGAATTTGTAAGAATGGGCTGCTATTTCCTAAAATCAATAGGACTAAAGTTAAAATTTTCTATTAATAAAAATGGAAGATTTTCTAAACGTTACAGAGGAATCCCAATTCGACGATAGTGTGGTTAAAATTACAAATCACTCCTATGTTCCTCACAACACTTTGGCAATAAATAATTCTGATGAAATACGAATATGTATTAATAATCAAGATTTGCTAACTCTCCCATGTATGAGTTATTTGTATATTAAGGGAGAAATTGAAAATCATGATAAAGGTCATTTTATAAAAAATGCATTTGCGTTCTTATTTGATGAAATTAGATACGAAGTTGCAGGTAAAGGAATTGACATTGTAAGAAACCCAGGAATTTCTAGTCTAATGAAAATATTGAGCTCTTACAATAACACTACTAAATTGTCAAATGTAGCATTTGATTCTGACACAAATTTAAAAGATTTCCATAAAGGCGGCAAGTTTAGTACTTTTGTACCATCAGAGCTGTTGATGGTTGTGTTTGAGGATTTTAATAAGGTTTTAGTAAATGTCAAACAAGAATTGGTGTTGAAAAGATCCACAAAAAATGATTTGGATTGTATATTAACAACCACTAGTGCTCCAACCAGTGGCACTGCTGATACAATTCCCAAAATTACACTTAATTCAATTCAATGGGTGATGCCAAATGTGATACCATCAGATAAGGGAGAAGTTACAATTACAGAAGATGTTATTGCAAAAAAAAATTTGCAAATTGCATTTAGAAGTTTAGAGCTGCACGAATTTCCATCATATCCCAATACTGCATATCCTCGGCTCTGGAAGTAGCCTCTTCCTGGGAGATGAAAACCGGGCAAGCAAAGCCCCCGAAGAGGAGGTAACTGCTCGGTGTTGGAATCGGCGCTGCAAGTAGGCCATAGCTATGGACGACTGGACAAGCCAGCCCCTTAGGGGAGAGTACCCAGTGACATTCATCCATCCAGTTTGGTGGGATGTTCAGCTCTGCGAGAGGTGGAAGTGCGCCATCAATCTCTCACCTGCTTCTGGCTATGGCTCTATGGGTTTCGGCCCGTTTGCTGTGTGCAATCAACATTAAGTGTGGCAAATCCTCGACTTTGGAAGTAGCCTTTCCTGGAGGTGAAATCGGGCAAGTACCCGTAAGCTCACGGGGACACTCTAGGGGAACGTTACTTTACGCAGTGTGAGGGTAACGGCTGGGCGCACTCCATTAGCCAATCCCTGTCTCTGAGCCCGGAAGGTATTGTTATCTAGAGTGTGGGGGGTTCTCCCTGGAACCTCAATTGAGTTAAGGGTGTCGCCACCTTTGGTGGATAGGTTCATCCGGGTGGGTCCCACTTCTATACCTGCCTCCTTTTGGGAAACCCTGATGGCCCGGCAGTGATGTTGGGTTAGATGGGCAAATGAAGTAGATCGGGTGCTGGGATCAAGCCCGCTGGGGGTATCTAGGGATCTATCGCCCTGGTTATCCCTGGTTTCCCAGCGAATGGGGTGACCTCGATCGGGTAGTGGTGTAAATAGGGGGTTGGGGTTCCCCCGTCTGCATACTGACGGTCCCCTTCCTCCTGGCTTTGATGGCGGGTTTTGGCCTGTCAGGGATTAGATAGGTCCCGAGTGTCGCTTGCACTATGTTGCGTCCAGGGACTCCATCATGGTCTGTCGGGGGGACCAGTTGGAGGGACGTAAGACCAAGTAACCGGGATCCCTGGTTAGGATTGAGGGGCAACCCTTTTTCCTACGGAGTTGCTTCGGCAGCCGGTGAGCCTGATGACCTTAAGTCATCCGCCCATGGTGTGCCTAAGGTTGGTGCGTATGCTCCGGCCTACACCATGGGGCCCGGGTATGTTTAATTATAGGAATTGGGTTGAAGTCGAGGGGCTTTGGCTCTTTCGGCACAAAACGAAATGAAAAAATATCCCAATACTACAAGACATACATGGTCAGTTAAAATCAAAGAAAAGACATCTTAAAGTTTGGAGAAGCCTAGTTATATTTGGTTTCCAAACAGCTAGGGACAATAGTGCACGAAAAAGAACTGATGAATTTGGTCATTTTAAGTTAAAAAATATCAAAGTATTTCTAAACTCTGAATATTATCCTTATAGTGATTTAAATCTCGACTTTGAAAATGGAACTGTCTCTAAAGCTTATGAGATGTTTATGAGGTTTAGAGAGACTTACTATCCCAGATCCTATGATTAGTAGGGCTGAGTTTATGAAGAAATATATACTAATTGTAATAGATTGTTCTAGACAGAACAATACAGTGAAGGAAGGAATTGTTGATATTAAATTAGAGATTGAAACTGCAGAAAATGCCATCAAATACATCTGCATATTGTTTGATAATACACGATAAAGTGTTTGAGTACAATCCTTTGACAAATGAGATAAATAAAATGTAAATAAAAGATTAAAAACATTCAACAAGAATTGGTTGACAATGCAAATCATACGAGAAAAATATAGAACTTTAAAGTTTCTAGAGGCTGAAGAGAGGTTCCAAACATTCCAAACTTTAATGGAGCCATTACAAGAATTAAAAAAAAAAAATCACAACTATTGCTACCAACATGGAGAGACCTCGAATGGAGATTCTCCCAATGACTCCATCTAGAATACCAAGATTACAACAATACACCCCACAGAAATTAGATTTTGGTCTTTTAGCATCAGACTATTTGGGAAATTACCTAAGTAAAAGTAGTATGACAGACACTACATATGGTATTAGACGAAAAGCAAATAAATTTGTTATTGGAAATAAGGAAGTTGAAATTGCCAATGATGATATTATAGTTGCAAATAAAACCTACAAGGGAACAAAAGGTTTGTGGCAATTGTTAACCTTAAAAGAACCTTAAGGTTTATACTCCGGCTGGTGTGCAAAATTATAAAACGATTTTGGAATCTACAAATGGACATTTAAGAAGTTACAAAGATGGTGGACCAATTTCAAGTAATAGACATACTAAATATCTTAATATAATTAAACCTCTGTTTGCATATAACAAGTCTTTTGGTGAAGGTTTGAGGCAAGTGACTGATAATAAAGCAGACTATATTTATTGGGATGATCCTAATGAGCTTGTAGATAGGTTAAGACATCTTTGGCTAAGTCGCCAAGCCGGTAACTCAGGCGTGGATAATGAAATAGATTCCATTATCGAAGAATTATATTTTAGTATGTGTTTTAGTTAGTTTAATCGGGTTACTACGTTGGTTACTCAGTATACTACGTTGGTTAATCGGCCGCTACTTTTGTTAATCCGCCTCAGGTTTTACAACACTCCCACTCAAACTTTTGGTTATTTTGTTGTGACCCTTGCTATTTTGCAGAGCAATGAGTTATCTTCAGGGAGAGGTTCTTTGCCAGCCGATTTAATGAGTGGTGTTTTTTTTTATATTTCTTATCAAAGATTATTATATATATATTGTATTCCCTTTATTTTATATCTAGAGAGAATGAGGGCGCGTCCCTACAATAATAAGTCAAGAGTTTATGCTTTAACAATTAAATATTTATTCAACAACTTTATTAACAACAAATATAACATTCAGTCTTATTTCAGTATTATTCAGTAATTATCACAGTGATCTTTCTTACTAACAATTCACAAATTTTTAACTTGAAACTAAAAAAATCTACTGTACTTTAAATTATATCACAAAATATTAATGACTCAACAATTCCCTAACTCGCAATATGTAATCTCTGAGAAAGAAATTAAATTTTGCTAATAAGAAAACCCTAATCCGTAGCTTAGTTTGCCAACTTTCAGCTCTTACCAACTCCAGCAAAAAGCCGAGTGT